GGGGGGGGGGGGGGGGGGGGCAATTGCCGTGAATCATGACGTCGCAAAGCATTGTTACGTGACGTCATAAGTAAATAAAGTTACCAATGAAATCACGACCAGGATGTTACCCACTAGTGGGTAACCAAAAATGTCACCAACTCCTAGCTGGTTTTATTGTATGGATCGGAGTGAGGAAACATTTAGTGGTTGTGGGAGAAAGATACATCTCCCACACTTTACAGATTTATCTCCAGTGATTTGTATACCAGCTTGTTGGTTCAGGAGCTGAATCAGAGACATTATAAAGTGTTTACACCGAGGTCATGTTTAATTGAACAACGTTTACATTCAAACAATGTTAAACCAACTCCTGACAATCAACACTATTGGGAATGGCTATGTGACATGAACTTCTCATATTTATAGTAACCACATTACAAATACTCTGCGGAGTATTGTTTTTTGATCAACATACCTAAATACGTGACATCGTGAACATACAGTTTCTTACAATGCTCCCATGTGATGACGAATGGTTGATTCCATGCACTGCCTTCAAATGTAATACTGGCGTTGTTATCGTCATTAGAAATTGAGGACAAACAGAAGTCTTCATACTTCATTCTAGTTTTTCTGAAGTAGGCCAGTTCATCATAAAAATCGGGTGGCTGGTCTTTTATTTTTTCTTTCAATTTTTGAACAAAAAATTCATAAAGTTGATAATCTAAATACGCACAGTTCCGATGGAGTTTTTGTGCAATTTCTCCAAACTTAAGGCGACTATCTTCCCTCTTGTTTACCCGAAGTTTACCGTATAAAACATGTCGGAGATCCCAGTTTAAGATTCGTCGCATCAACACAATGGATTCATCGAGAAATTCCAACACTAAAACGAGGTCCATTTCCTTATCCAGTTTGAGTATATACTTTAGTGTCTGACGTCGATCCCTCTTTGAAAATAAATCACGGCTAAACCCATAGTAAACAGCCATTCTATTGCACACTGAAGCCATATGACCAGTTTTGTTCCTGTTTTGTTCTTCCCTTGACAAATATTCCAAAACTGGATTATCTCCGGGTATACCTACCACTGACTTTGGATGAGTAAATCTGATGTAGGATCGGAAATGGCTGAAAGGCTCCCTCACGATTCCTATATACTTAGTATCAGCATGTAAGACTCGACGAAATGAGTTCGTATCGTAGTTGACGTGCGCACAAGTTATATCATAGGTTTTGTTTTTTGGTGGAGGATAGAAGTGGCTCGATGTCAATTCAGTACCGCCCCCACTGTGTCGTGGCAAAGCAAAAATGAGATTCTTTTCATCCCCATAACGTAGAAATATATTCTCAACCGTTGTACTGGCTGCCTTGCGTACCTTAAGAAATGCTATGTGATTGACAGGATTGCCTGTCAGGCTGTATGGGTTCTGACTGGAGTAGCCATTAATCCGATACAAAATATTGCCCAACATTTTCTCTCCCACATCTACGGTACGATTGGTGTAACGTCTTAAATAGAACAGTGTCACGAATGCACAGACTCCCAGCAACAATAACCTGCAAAATAATGCATTCAGGATATGTACATAATAGTTAAGTACAATATTGTAGTAATATTTATGAGTTTAGAACTATGTAGTTATCTGTATAAAAAAACGTTCGGTATAATTGAATTCAACTATCCAGACAATATAAGATTATGTATTTTTGTGATAGGTTAAACTATTGATTCATTCCACAAAAACTTCCAGAGATGAACATTTCCTCGCGTTCTTGTATACTTTATTATACATTCGTTAATTCCCTTAAGATATAGGTCTATGCATAACCTGAAACCAAACTCTGCTGAATTACATACCATAATAATAAATAATATAAGTAATTCGAGGTTCTTATATACCGCTTTATCACAACCTAGTTCGTAGGTCGTCTCAAAGCGGTTCACAAATTATTTTCCATGGTTATAGGGCCTTTGCAACCAGCCAATATCTTTCTCAACTCATTGGGGAGCACACAGCCGGTGCTGCTATTTCGGCGCTCACAGCTAGCATTCAACAATTCTAGCACTGCCCAACAACGTACTCACTTACATCTGAGTAGACTGGAACAAGCGGAGTAAAGTATCTTGCTCAAAGATACAACACAGTGCCGTGCCGTGCCGTGCCGTGACTCGAACCCGCAACCCTTCGGTCACGAGCCCGGCGTCCTACAACTAGACCACCGTGCCTCCTAACATTTATTTCGTGCAAACCAGTTCTTGCTAACCGACTGATTGATATACGAAGTAAGAGTGTGACTATTTATAGGTTAAAGCGATACAGAGAGCCGAACGAAATATAAACAAACTCTCTCCTAGTCTGTCAATTCCTCCATTCATCAGTGGTAATCAATATCAAGAGAACGGAAACACGTGACAAATGTGCTAGGAATTTCTGCCTGTTTTGTACAAAGTCCTCCTTTCACTTGTGTTTTTAATGAATGCGAAAGGTTGGCAGAGACTAGGGATATTACGTTATCGTTAAACTCAATCAATTTTATCGAAATCTCCTTTTGTATAAGCAATCTAATCAAACAACCTTCACTACACTGTTTGATGTGCCAAATTAAGTGTTCTCTGGTTAACTTATTGCTACCTATTATGTAATAGGTGTATGAGTTTAAAATGCAAGTGATGTCCTTTGTCAACACTGACGTAATGATGTAAACTAAACCTATACTAGTAAATGTGTGTTTAGGATGCCTCGGCAGCAGAAATGTGCCCGTAATGATATGGCATATCTATTTTTGTATGTAAATGTGTATGTTAATTAATCATTGCCTTTAACTAGCGTAATATCCAAGTGGATGACAAGAGTACATTGAATTTGACTTACCTACAACGTGTTGAATAACGCATCTTTGGCTGACAATGTTGTAGGGATGCATATATGATAGCATGGCCCGCAAGGCCTAATTCAAAACCTTGTACAAGATTTGAAATGAAATTTATCAGTGTATATATATCAGTCGCGCCACGTGACTTCATATATAGTTACAGCCTGGAGCCTAGTAGTACAACGTAAATGTAACGGGATTTATACTTCACCGTAATGAATATCTATACTATAACAGACATTGTTTTGGGCGAAAAAAAGCAACAGTTGATATGAAATTTTTGTTATGATATCTTCAAACAAAGGGAAGGAGACAGACATGAAGGAATCTCAAACTGTTTAATTTTGCAACGAGTTAGTTATTTTGAACAAAAGAATATCAATATATTTTTCTCATTTTGCAGATATAACCATGAACAATGGCCCCTTATGTTAACATTATTATTTCTTTTTATAAAATAAAATACTTTCTCTTCTTAAAGCACAATGAAGAAGGATTTTGAATTATGTTTATGTAAATATGATGTTATGCAACAGTTAATTTATACAAATCGTATTACTATTGTGTTACAAAACGCACCACAGGAGAATCAAGATTAGTAACAAATTGTGTAAGCTTTCGAAAACGTCGGTTTCCTTTGACATTTCAAACAAAACTGTTGAATTAGACAGATTTAATGAAGATGGGAAGGTAAGCTAGAACACATTTATAAGAATCAAGGAATGTTGAAATAAGTGGATATTTGTTTTAGACATGATTTCTATATTTATATATGCATTGATGTATATTTATAAATGTTTAATTAAGCGTAGTGCAATTATTGTGTGTTGAATTTGATGTTTATATCAGTGACTAGCATATATAGTCTTCATTATAACATATTATTTTTTAAATATAATTATCAATTTTATTATTTCAATTTACTATAACGTTATATTGATTCCTTTGTCAAGAAAGAGTGCAAAATATCATTCCGAAATCTTGTTATTTAACAACAAAGCAACATAATTTAAGTCTGGGATGTCGTGTGGTTCAGTAGGTAGCGCACTTGCTTTTCACCAAGGCGGCCGGGGTTCGATTCCCCGATCGGACGTCAAAAAGGTATGGAGTCACCTGCCCCATCATTTGGGTTTTCTCCAGATACTCAAGTTTCCTCCCACAATAAGACCCCCCGAGCGCTACCATCCTGGCCAACAAGAGTGATTAATATAAGTTAAAAAAATAAATATTCATAATTGTTGTCAAATAAATAAAGTTTAAATGTAATCTGAATATGGACGTTCGGGCAAACGTCTTTTTATCATGACCATTATTTGAAGGCCGCATGCAATAGATGTTGTAACGTTAATAATCATAACCGCATACACTTGTACATTAAGTACAATAGTAAAGAAAAAGGAAGTTTAACCAGTGGAAAATTTCGCATTGAATGAAATAACACGTACGTACGTGTTAAGAACGTATTTTTCAAGGGCCGCGAGGAAACTTAAGGCTGACAATAGTAACAATAGCAATAATAGAGTAATTTATCAATCGGCAATATCACAGCTAACGATTCGCTTGAAATGTAATGTTACGGGTTACGATACCATTAGTAGAACACACCCCCAGGTTACCTACGATCTCCTGTGTGTATGTACTGTACACTTGTAGCTTACAATTAGTTTAAATCAATTTTATTGCAACAAAAGACAAATGGATTGGACAAAAGTTATTGCAACTTACTTACGTCCTTTCCGTAACAGAAAATATATATACAAAATTAATGAGTCACGTAATAACCTAATACAATTCATATATGTATATATATATAAGATGTTAAAGATGGGTAACAGCAAAAGAGGTAATGATAGGATTAGGGACACCAACGTATAGTTTTTAAATATGTATTCGGAGAGTTTACTTGAGATCGCGTG